TTGAATTCGTTATTCGTGGCAATCTCATTAAAATCAGACCTCAGTTCTCGCTACCGCTAAACAAAGATCTGAGGACATCCCATTAGGGGTCACGTGGCCACTAGAATCGAATATTTATGAACATGCAATCATGTGAATTTACATAAAAATATCCATAAGGACATATTATATGCATAGATTTCTTCAAAAGACAACGCTCTTGTACTATTTAATTTGACAGTATTGTGGTCACTGGTCATTGTTGTATTTGAGCAGATACTAGCACCTGGATAAGTGCTGTATAGAAATTTATAATATATTAATAATTAACAAACCATGTCAAATTTTTTGTTGTTATTGCTTCACTGAACATAACAAACAATACATCAACTGCTGACTTGTTATTGTATTCGTGAATTAATATTCGTATTCGTTTCCCAATATTTGTGATACGAATTGTATACGCCTCATAGAGTATTCATTGCAGCCCTAGTGTACAGTAAATATGGTTTTCGTAATAATCACTCACACTGATCCTTTAATACACAAGTGGTTTGTGGTTAATATTTCAATGTCGCGTCCATGTCTTGGTTTGCTTGACAAGTTAAGTACCGGTAATGAATATCTGTTTGCACACCAGACACCTCATCTGCTGAATTTGTACAGGCTTGTGAAGGCTGTGCACCTTGATCAACTTTTGTCGCATTTTGAAATAGCATGAAAAGCCATGGAAAAGAGCAAAATGGCTTGCGTTGTGTTGATGGTACTTGTATTTAACCCTAGTTTTGAGATGTGCACATAATGGACCAACAGTTAGTGTCTGAATTGGCAGCTTGTTCAATAATTGTTTGAAAATGTTCCTAGTAGTAACTGTACCTTGTGCATATGTATTACTTTAACATTTGTTAAAAGGGAATAATTTCTGTTGAAACATGGTAAAATAGGAGTAAAAAGATGGAAGAACTTGAAAATGTCCTCTGATGGCCTTGAAATTGTGCCTTGGGGTCCTTGATGATGTCCTTTAACATGCTAAGAAATGTCCTTGAATGTCATTTAATGTCCATGAAAATCTCCCCTGTCCATGAAGATTTTTCTTAGAAATGTCTCCTCTCTTTGAAAATGGCTTCTAATTTTCCTGAAAAAGCCTTGAATATATTTTTCAGTTTACTGAATTAGGCAAGTTGTATGAAACACTTATCCAGCACAATTTTATCAGTTTTTACCGTATTAGCCATGTTTACCATTGTTTTCCTAATTGGTTTTTAACATGGTTAATTATAGGTGAACATCATAAGGCAAAAAGCATAATAAAATTGTTATAAAATTATCAAAGACATTATTTAGACATCACAACACTTGAAAACCAGAGCTAGATGAAATGCCAGTAATTGCTGTCAGTGTGTGTCTGCAAATCCCTTTGAACAAGAACGCAAGATGATTGATCAGTCCGGGGTGTGGGCGGCTTAGTATGGACACCATGACCCAGTGTGTGACCCGACATACACGAGATGTTTCATTGACATGTATTTGACGTAATTCAGGTATATTTAGCATCAGCTTTGTTATGGTGATTGATGACCTTTGTTAAAATCCTTAATAAAATTATGGGTAGTTCTAAAATTTCAAAAATACCTCTTATAATTTGTTTTATTCAATCTGAAACTTATAGGGAAGCACATTTCTGGCTTTATAATTCATCCTCTTGCCTGGCTTCCTGGCGTTAGGAATTTTATCCAAGGTTGACGCTAACTACCTCAAATCCATAGCAATGATAAACATGATAAATATACTACTCAAAAGAAGTTAAGGATCACCATGATCACCTGATTCTTTCATAGTACAATAGTTAATCTCTCATGCCATGACAGATTAACTTTACCAATATGAAAGAATTGGGTGACCCCTACCTCCTTTGAGTAGTATATTAACATGTAATAGGTTACATATCAATATGCACAGTGTGAACTTTTTTTTATATGAGATTATAAAATTCATATGGTTGCTGAAAATATTGTTGGCATAGATTTTGATACCAATGAAATTAAACTGGTATCTGATAGAAACTTAAAAGAATCCAGTAACTTTTTTAGTACATTTTTAGCTTTTCAAAATTAATGTCAAACTCACCTTTAGACATTGCAAAAGGATTTGGTTGGTTGGTTTGTTGTTTAACGCTGCACTCAGCAATATTCCAGCTATATGACGGCGGTCTGTAAATAATCAAGTCTGGACCAGACAATCCAGTGATTGATATCCTGAACACCGATCCCCGTAATTGGGATCGATGACATGCACCAACCCTTGCAAAAGGAGAAAATGATTGATCTGGGCATGTATTTTTAGGTCATTTCAAAGTCATCATGCCCAGAGGTCAATTATCATGTTAATTAACATCGTTAATGAGCTTATTTGATCAAGGTCAACCATTACTCCCTGTTAACATGGTTAACAGCCTGATGTGATTGATTTATCACTGACAAGCTGCTGATCCTTCAGCATCCTCATTCCGCTTGGTCATCTTGATAAAAGTACAGTGGGATGGTGATAAAGAATGGTACGGAAATACATCACCAGGTCACTGCAAGGACAAACCTCTATCTATTCCTAGCTTATTCTTAATATCACCATTTGCACTCTACAACTTTGACTTTGATGTGTTACATGTTGACTTCCAAATGGAAAGAATAAGCTAACCCATAAATCTATGCGTTAAATATTTAGTGTGAAACCAACAATCAAGAAAGAAATGGTATACAATTAACAATTGTTTTATAAAATGAACTACCCTATTCGACGTAATAAGTGCCCAGGTCGCTCTCAAAATAAGATATAGGGGGCGCTTATTGGAACATAATTTTGGTGAAAAAAACCCAGAATTTAAAGATCGTAAATTTAGTGGTTTGGCGAATGTAGAAAATGACCGATCTCAGTATTTTACCCCTTTAGATATGTATGTCTCTCACAAATAATGCTACCTGCATGCTTGCACGTATTAACTTACATATCTATGTATTTGTGATTACTCCACATAAACGATGAGTAAAAATGATCGTCGACGCCCATTGTTCCAAACAGGAAGTACCGATAATCAGCAGGTAAAGTTGAAAATTAAATATAAAAATCCGCTCTGTGTTTATGATTTATAAATATTACCTCATTTATTACCTTATATTACCTTACTTACCTTATTTTTCGTTGAGAATGACGATGTATTAAATGTTTATAATCAATTCTTTGTTTCAGCAACTTTTGTTTGCAAAATTAACTTGTATTATTTTTTCTCTTGTTATTATTGTGTCAGCTATGGTACTGGTCATGACTGGTCACCAGTTTCACAATGACATATACAGCTTGTGAATAAAAATACTAGAACCATCTACCCGAGATTAATATATAAATACAAATATCCTAAAAAGTACATCTAGTTTTTAATTAATGAGCGTTTTCAGAAGTAACATAACTTCGCATAACAGCAGCGCCACAGGCTAATTTGCATATCATGTGACCAGACTTTTTTCACGTTTTTAAATAAACACTGACATCAGAACAGACAGATGCTTTACATATTTTGAGTAATTATTTGCTACTAAAACTACGACTTTGAGGTGCACGACAATATATATTTATGCATCAAAGTGTCCGTACCTCTCCATATAGCTTCGATGACAGCACCTGATGTAAACAAATGAAAACTCTGCAAATGGAAATAGTTCTTCGACTTTTGAGATATTTTCTCACTGAAAGTTAACCATGACAAATGTTTATCTCGATGTATAGACTCGTAAAAAAATGAAACAGAAGAAAATCAAATCATTGTTGCATTGATAAATATGAGTTGGCACTGTCGCGGTATGTGGTAAAGTGGGCTCTATGGAACGGGGTGAACGGAAGTTGTAAGTATCGTAGGGACACAATTTTGCTGAAATTATGTAAACATTCATGAATGAAATTTTGAATAAAATAAATAAAATTGATTACAAACATAAGTCCAGATATACAGTGAACACTTACACAGTGTAAGAAAGGGGTTAACTTGTGTAATTCAATGCGGATTTATTGATATTCTATTTCCAATGACGGATCATGACAGTCATCATGGTCATATACACGACCGCCTGAAATGATACTACGAAAGAAAAAGTCTGTGCGTATTACATATGAGAGATATATTTTCCAGAGTTTAATTGCCCATAATTAAGGGAGTGCGTATTATACTCGAAGTAAGTTTTGTGTACACTGATCAATCGGAAGGGGCGCTTATTGGGATTGTTCACTTGCTGATATATTAGCAAATATCGCCATGGGGGCTTATTAGAGCGGGGCTCTCATTACGTTGAATTCGGTAGGCTTTATAAGTCAATGCAAATTACTACACAGCAATTACAGTGGCAGTAAACAACAGAGCGGCAGTACAATTTCAATGACGGTATAAAATATAATAGCAATGGTAATAGTATTCCCCTAGCAGCAACTGTGGTCAAGCTATCAAAGTAGGCCAAGGCTGGATATCCAGGGTGAAAACAATGGTCTTCACACAACAGCTGGTCTTGATGTAATGTGAGATGTAATGTGAGATGAAATATCCATGCACTTGCCCCACTTATATATATATATGCTAAATATCTTCTGGAAGGTTCTATCCCATGCTGGATTAGTCTAACTGTTTATTCCAGATTACCATGATTACACTTGACCAAAGATGCATCAAAATATATAGTAACTTCCACACCACTGCTTACATTAGATAGTAATACATTCCTGACAACTCGCAAAGATCTGGGATAGCATATGTCTTCAGGAACCCATACTTGTCATAATCATGATAATGGCTCACTCACAAAATTTAAATAAATACTCAAAACAAGAAAATCACTTAAAACATCACATTATTGTTATTATTTTTATTATTACATGTTAACTTTGTTTCATTTATTATTTATTTTGATATTTCATCAGTCAGATTTACTAAAAGAAAATGAGAATAAATACATGATTTTCAAGTATATGTTGTTGTATTTCAGTATCGTATTGGCCAGCTGTACATGATCACCAAGCACTGCCATGAGCAGAGTGAGAAGGGGGAGGGGGTTGAGGTCATCAAGAACGAGGCGTGCGAGCACCCGGAGCACGGACATGGTCAGTACACCGAGAAACGAATACACCTGTCCAGGTAAGAAACAAACTGTCAGTATGTGTGCCTGAACAGGCATAATGGCAAAATTGTTGGTAGAAATCAAGATGTCAAATAGTCGATAGCATTACATACATATCTGTCCATGTAAAATGGCACATTGTGCAGTGAGAATTAAGTACACCTGTTCAGTTAAGCAGTGAGAGGCAAGTACACCTGTCCAGGTAAGCAGTGAGAGTCAAGTACACCTGTCCAGGTAAGCAGTGAGTGTCAAGTACACCTGTCCAGGTAAGCAGTGAGAGTCAAGTACACCTGTCCAGGTAAGCAGTGAGTGTCAAGTACACCTGTCCAGGTAAGCAGTGAGTGTCAAGTACACCTGTCAAGGTAAGCAGTGAGTGTCAAGTACACCTGTCCATGTAAGCAGTGAGTGTCAAGTACACCTGTCCAGGTAAGCAGTGAGTGTCAAGTACACCTGTCAAGGTAAGCAGTGAGTGTCAAGTACACCTGTCCATGTAAGCAGTGAGATGTAAATGCACCTGATGAGGTAAGCAGTGAGATTTAAGTTTACCTGTCCAGGTAAGCAATGAGAATTAAATACAGCTGTCCTAGTAAGCAGTGAGGATGAAGTTAACCTGTCCAGGTAAAATGTCAATACTTTGCAGTGTGAAGTGTATCTATACAGGTATAATGTCAATATTTATGGAAAGAATCAATACAAGTATCTGACTTGTTGCATGTCAAACAATTGATTGAGAAATCAATATGAGTACATGACTTAGTACGGAGTTTATCTTCTGGCCCATAATTGTTGATAGAGAAACACCTGCCAAGATTGTAAGTCTAACCATGCAATAAAAACACATGATGAATATCAAGGTAAGATGTGGCACAGTGCGTTGACACATATGTATACCTGTCTAGGTAAGATGTCAAACTGCATATTAGACATGTCGCAACTGGCTGTTCCAAAATGCGACCTTGGGCATGCCAGAAACCTATGTTAATTGAGTTCCTGCTTGCACCGATTAAGTTTCTAGGTTTGTCAGCGCCATACCCATGCTAGTGGGTTTCAACAAAGTGGTAAACGTCTGAGACCTGCATCACTTCAGTTTTCCCCCCACATCAAGATGACACTCTGTGATATCACTGGAATACTGTTGAAAGCAGCGTTAAAAATCGCTCACTCACTAATGTTGATACCAACTTCTCTGTAATAAGCAATATTTTTCGAAATTTCAATACCAACTTCTCTGTAATAAGGCGGCGGTGGGGTAGTCTAGTGGTCAAAGTGTCCACTCATCAAGCTGAAGGCCCGGGTTCAATTCCCCACATGGGTACAATGTGTGAAGGCCATTTCTGGTGTTCCCCGCCGTGATATTGGTGTAATATTGCTAAAACGTAAATACATACTCACTCACTCTCTGTTATAAGGCTGAGCCTTTCTCCTAATGAGAATACCAACTGTTCGGAAATAAGCAACCATTTTCCTTATGTCAGTACCAGCTTCTCTGTAATAAGCAATCTTTCACCTTAGGTCAATACCAACTTCAGTGAAATAAGCAGCCTTTCTCTTAATGTCAATACCAACTTCTGTGTAATAAGCAATACTTCTCCTAATGTCAATACCAACTTCTCTATAATAAGCAACACTTCTCCTAATGTCAATACCAACTTCTCTATAATGAGCAACACTTCTCCTAATGTCAATACCAACTCCTCTGTAATAAGCAACACTTCTCCTAATGTCAATACCAACTTCTCTATAATAAGCAACACTTCTCCTAATGTCAAACTTCATTGTAATTCTTGACCTCTTTCTTTTTTGCAGTCGACTGCCTGGCTGGGTACAATCAATTATTCCAAGAATCTTTTATATAACAGAAAAAGCATGGAACTTTTATCCATTCACCATAACAGGTTTGTAATCATTTGTTTGAAAAGAATTATGTCCATCTTCTATTATCCAGTGTATTATATCGCCAATTAATTATGGTAAATCTTGCTCACGAGTGTAATTTGATTGGTTGGCTCTTTTAGCCAAGTTCTTTTGAATATGGATCAAAATAGGATAATGGTAATGAATAGGTCCAGAATATTTATACATACATAATGAAGATATAATACCCTGGATTATTGAGGATGAGTGGTATTTCTTGCTTTACAAATGAAGAAGGTAATGAATAAAAATGAAAAAAAAAATGAAAATGTTATGTCAGTTACCAGTTAACATATAATTGTTTAGTAAGCTTAGAATGCAGGTAATCATATCCCAATTGCATGGATTGATGCTCATGAGTCAATCACTGGATTGTGCCAGACTCGATTATTTACAGACTGCTGTCATATAGCTGGAATATTGTTGAGTGTGGCGTTAAACAACAAATAAACAAACAAACAAACAAAGTAAGCTAAGAACACACAAAGAATTCTGGATATTGTTAAAATTCTGGTATATAGTTCCGAGGATTGATCATTTATTTAGGAACAGGTCTGGAAATACGTGAAAAAGCAAAGCTACAAGGGATAGGGTTTAAAACATACATAAGTCCATTAAACACATAGTGGGCAGTCGGGTAGCCTAGTGGTTAAAGCGTTCGCTCGGCACGCCGAAGACCCAGGTTCGATTCCCTTAATGGGTACAATGTGTGACGCCCATTTCTGGTGTCCCCCGCCGTGATATTGCTGGAATATTGCTAAAAGCGGTGTAAAACCAAACTCACTCACTTTAGTTTTAATTGCAAGAAAAAACAGGGTCTGGTCTGAAAAGTTAAAAAATAAGACGATGATTTTTCAGTCAGCTCGTATGATTTTACATTTTTCATAATCACTTCAATCTAACATTTAAGAGCTTTTCTTGATTGGTTTTATTGACCAACATGTCTTGTGGAAAATGCTCCCATAATATGTTGCTCGGTTTAGCCAAATGGTCCTTCTTGAGGGAGCAGACATCCTACTGTGATGCATGCAGGTTTGTACCTGGGATTAGCTCATTGTGTCTTGGTGATTATACTTGGGAGAGCTAATTCACCCATTTGGATGACATCCATCAGCTACAATAGATTTACTGTCAGTACTCTCGTAATGGAGACATGATATATGAGGCTTTGATTACCAAGTCAGATTGTATCTTCCTGTAATCATGGATATCAATGGATGTTCCCCGGGTTTATATCAACCCAAGTAATTCATTGACCTTCTCTTGAAGACAAACTATAACAAGACCTTGGTAAGGAAAGGAATACTGAAAATCGTGAAATGAATGCGTCTCCAAAAGAATGCGACCACTGGACCCTCGCCAAAAATGCGACACCCCTCCTCTCCAGCATCAGTGGATTTCTATTTAAGATGTCCTCAGTCAGGTTTAGAATCCTCACCTTAATCCAACCTTACATTAATCCAATCACACACCAAATAGCACTTCTAAATAGTACTTCTGCAAAAACATTACATGCGCGCTGGCTCATGTCGGCCTTTGACGCAGTCATTAAGAACAAAGGGTGGCATCTGTCTGGACTTGCAGGTGTGATCAGTGATGGCATAAGTGAGTAGAACTCTTGTCTTGACCCCAGCAATGACAATCTCACAGGATGTAATTAGTGTTTGAATGACATTGTTTATATACTTTATATACAAGTGCTGCTCAATAAACAGTGGTGTGGAATACATCAGCGTATGTCTAAGTTGGTATTTTTTGCTATCCAAAATGTCTTATTGTTGATATAAATGCGATGTTTAAAAATGCGAGCAAAGACCACTCGCATTTTCCGCATTTAGTTCACGCTCGCGTTAATTTCAAGATTTACAGTATATGGATGTCAACTTCTTTATTTTGAGGAACACAACGTTTCGGAGGATATTCTTACTCCTTCCATCTTCATTCACCTGATGAAGGAGTAAGAATATCATCCGCAACGTTGTGTTCCTCATAATAAAGAAGTTGACATCCATACATTCACTTCCTTATGTGTATCACTTCTAAATGCCTTTCAAAGACTTAAGACCTTGTTAGTCCAGAAACCTGTCTGCCAGGGCAGGGGTTTATCTAGACCTACTCATAGGGTGATATTCAGCCCGATGCCTGCACAAATGTCAGTACAAATTCCCAATTTGGAATTATACAATTAGGAAATAAAGTTTGTTCTACAACCACATGCAGTGTAATAAAGTAGGGTTCTTTTGTAAGATGCGGAATTTAAGATTAATCTTATGTTTTATTGGAGCTGGGTTAAAAATCAGATCAGTCATGACCTGTGATGTAAATTGAAAATCCTCGAACAGGGCTAACTGACAGGCTCTTCCATCTAATTGCTTCCACCCTTATGTTAAGGGACATATTTATGTTTTGAACATAATGCACCTCTAAAATGGGTAGTTTGTTATTTAAATACGTCATATTTCGTTCAGTGTGTGGTTATCCATGATCCCATGCAGCAATAAGTAGGATTCTTAAATTTAAGTTTTAATATTCAGAGCTCCAGATAAGCTTTTGGTGTTGTGGGTATTTTACCAATGCATTTTACAATCATTGGGTATCAGTAATTCTATCTGGGTATTCAAATTTCTGTTACCCACTAGTTTTTACACATTTGGGTATTTAAGGTAAATATTTAAAAACTCTATTCATCTAGTCCCTGAAAACTGATGTCGTGTGGGTTTGAGAGCTTTATAGGACTCAAAAGTTCCACGATACTTCCACAAGAAAGTGTGATGGCAAATGATCATGATGTAACTGTCACCTTGGAGTTTGGCAAGGTTGACGGAATGCCCGTTTATAATTTCAAAATAAGTTGCTGATTTGCTTATCAAATACGCAGGGTTACTTCACAATATTTTGATGATACACACAAGTTTTATGTTTGTAGCGTATCTGTAATGTTCGTTTCGTATTTGATACACTTGGATTTTATTTTACTGCTTATTTCTGCATTTCCGATGCGTATTTTACGCAGATACGCATCTTATCTGGAGCTCTGATATTAATTGCTTCAAATTATTCACATGACTAGAAACATTCCACAAGTACATTGTAGGGTCGATCTAAGAAATGTAAACAAAGCCTTCCGAAGTACAATGTCGCTGGTAATTGTGAGTTGAGGTGTTTTCTGTCGTACAAGTTGCAACTTCCACAACTAATGTTAGAAAACTGCAGCAACTGCAAGCTTTGAAATTACATGACCAGTAGTGTGCTGACTGAGTTGGTTGCGCTATGTGATTCTGTAACCACTGTGAATCGACGTGAGGCGTGATATGGCGTCACTGTAGGATGAATATGGCAGAGGAAGAGCAATATAGCAGCCGTTTAGTTTGACTGTAGTATGTTGCTAAATGCCATACGCTGAGCAACAGGTGTACATATGGTTTCAAGGATTTCAAGGATTGCTCATTCCTTTGGGGTAGGCTGAGTCAATAGTTGAGGTCATGTCATGTCATGTCATGTCATGTTAGAAAATTGCCAACAACCAGATTGCATGATCGAAATATTTAGAGCTATGAAACTATGACATATGCCATATGTCATGGTTGTGTCAAATGTCAAGGTCACTTTGAAGGTCATTCACACAAACAGTTCGTTCAGAAAGTAATGTGGTATGACGTGGTATGGAGTCTTCATGATTGTAACACCACCTCAGTTGTGGCGTGTTGTTAGGTGACGTTGAAGGTCAAGGTCATTTGACTAGATGGGCTTAAAACTTTAGAATTTTTTTATGGCAGCTGGAAGCGTTACTGAGGACTTTCTGTTTCGAAGTTGTACTACATTAGGCATGTGTTTACCCGAACTGGAAGTGCCTAAATAGACAATTGCAAACTACACCTTGTATAACAATACTGATGTTATGCTGCCAACATGTATTTTATGTGGCTGTTCTGGTAAATCTTCAACAAAATGTTAAACACCGTTGTGTCGGACTTTGATGTGTCGAATTTACGGTTATCTCGAAGCAGAAGCTTGGTCACTGCGTATTCCTTCTTTATTCACAATTTTCAGTTTTGTCGAACTTCGGATAACTCAAATTATTTAGGTACATAGGATCATTCAACTTCGACACAACAGTGTTTGACTGTATATAATATGACTTTGATATGAAATATACAGAGTTTGCTTCATAAGAAAACTAATTCTTTATGTCTTTCTTTTTTTTCATGGATTCGCTTGGCTTTGTCCAAACAGAATACACAGTGAGTATGTTTTGTAGTTTTGAAGTTAGAGATGCTCTCATAATTCATCCCCTGGAGATCCAGTTAGAGTAGGTATCCAGCAGTCTACTGTTGTAGGAGTCCTCTAAATTGGTTGGGTCGGGCTTGATGACGGCTCAGTGTTTTAAATATAAAGATGGTCCTAGGGTTCTTGAGTTATCTCCTCTGGTATTTGAATCTAGGATCCTTTCCCCCCCCCCCCCGTGAATGCAACGATACGCCCAATATCACCTCACCACATGACAAGAAACCAAAGACTTTCATGCTTAATTTTGAACTCTCCTGCCTGTCATTTTACCCCCATGACATGGACGGTATTCACATTGTCAACCACTGGTTTGCAGACTTCATTATGTACAAGCGATAAAGAATATTCTGACTGCGACAAGATCTTATTAATAATTATTGTGATGTGCAGCAAATAATGCTGATGCAATGTTAAATTCTCACTCACTCACTCACTCACTCACTCACTCACTCACTCACATCTTTAAACAGGAGATGAAATTTGTCTGGCGAAAATATTGTTCATGCATTAAATCTGGTTGAAGGAATCACTCAAACTGAATCAACACACTCACTCACACACTCACTCACTCACTCACTCACTCACGAACTCACTCACGAACTCACTCACGAACTCACTCACGAACTCACGAACTCACTCACGAACTCACGAACTCACTCACGAACTCACTCACGAACTCACTCACGAATGCTCTATCTTGATGATATACATGTATGCTGTTGCAAATTAGTGTTTTACTCACCACCAAAGCTAAAAAAGCTAAATGTTTCTATTTTAGTTTAGAAGAAATAAGATGTTCAGCTTAGTGATTACTTTGTTCTCAGGCAATGTATTTCCCCTTCCTGATCAGTTTTAAATCAAGTGCCTGAGAAACCTGGAAACATGAAACTGTTTTCATGCAGCCCTAGAAATGATCACAGGAACGAAATATTTCTGTCTTCATTAGTTTCAGTCATATATCTCTTTTCATCCTCTACAGTGAAGTCTTCACTTGATAAGTAACGTAACCATCAACTACTGGAGGAATGACACTGTAATACCAGGCCCTTCTTCGAATAGCTTCCTTGTTGAGACAACCCCTCAACTTGGAGGGTTTGTCCATTTGATGTCTGTGTTTTTACTGCTGCTGGACATGAGTGCTGCTATGTTTCCAGGGCTGGGTAAATGGGTTCCTGGCCCTGTTATCAACAGTCCGGCTGTGGTATGTGTATGGGTTGGTGGTGAGGTTGTTTGTTTCATGTTTCAGTGTTCATTCATTCCCAAGTTTTCCATCTATATCGAGACCTGTTATGAAGACAATAATGGCTCAGCAGAAAATGTAAGTATTGGAATTGTAGCATTGCCGGAGTTAGTCATGTTAATGTTGTCATCATTCCATCAGTGTGGATCCCAGGTCACATGGGACAGCTTATTGGTTGTCCTCACCCTTACTCTTACCCCCAATTAAAAAAACATCCTCACCCCTGTCCCATCTCTCACCACCCCTCATCCCCTTTCCAACACCACCCCTCTCCCCTCTCACCATTCCTGCACCACCCCTCATCCCCTTTCCAACACCACCCCTCTCCCCTCTCACCACCCCTGAACCACCCCTCACCCCCTTACCAACACCACCCCTCTCCCCTCTCACCACCCCTGCACCACCCCTCATCCCCTTTCCAACACCACCCCTCTCCCCTCTCACCATCCCTGCACCACCCCTCATCCCCTTTCCAACACCACCCCTCTCCCCTCTCACCACCCCTGAACCACCCCTCACCCCCTTCCAACACCAACCCTCTCCCCTCTCACCACCCCTGCACCACCCCTCTCTCCCTCAACCCTGGTCCCATTTTTAACATTCCAGTGTTAGTTTTTCCTCAGTGTACTTGCAGAAAATATTTGAACTCTGACAGTTTTGTTTGTTAGGTGTTAAGTGGCTGTCTTAGTTTACAGGTGACTAAATATCTAGGTGAGGTAATCTGCAATGCTGTGTCACTGGCTGGGACGGGTCCAAATTTACTACCCGGGTACCCACCACCCTATTACCCGACCCTACCAGGGGCAGTTTGATCGTAGCCCTGGCAAAATGTATGTAGATACACATGTAAGACGATCCGCTCTTGCATATACTGAAGTTTAATGCATGAAGTTTTATCTTTATTCAAACATATAAAAGTCAGAAGGAATGGGTGCATTGTCAGAAAGAAATGGGATATAGTGACTTATAGTGTAACCATAGAGTTTTAGATAATTTTTGTCATCAAACAATATATATCACGTGACTGTATATATCCAGAAGAAGTCGGGATCGGGTGGTCAGGCTTGCTGACTTGGTTGATGCATGTCATCCTATCCCAATTGCGTAGATCAGTGTTCACACTGTCAATCACTGGATTGTCTGGTCTGGACTTGATTATTTACAGACCAGCATCATACAGCTGGAATATTGCTGAGTGCGGCGTTAAACAACAAACAAGCAAAACAAACAAACAAACAGTCAGATTTAGGGCCTTTTCTCAGTAGGGAGCTTTGATTGAGACCCTGAAAAAAATATCCAAAAACTCCAAAGTCGACAATACATTGACAAGTTGTATCTGAATCTGAAAATGACAAGATTCTCTAGTCTCTTTTCCATTATGTTAACAGACAATTGAACAAAAAGAATCTGAAATATTTTTATTTCAGATATTAAATGTTAGTAGTGTCAGTAATAATTTTACTTAGTCTGTGTTTGTTGTGTTTTAGGAAAGTAAAAAAATGTTAATAGTTTTGTTAATAGTAATGACTAATAAACAGAAAACAGCATTTTTAGCTTCATATTACATTATTGCATGACTGATTATAATTGAAAACATTAGGTGTTGATTCAAAGTTTTGACAAAATACATTTTCCCAGTTCACCTTGCCCATGCACTGTGATCGGTGTCGGAGACAAATGCCTGTATTTGTGGAGTAGAGATGCATTGTGTGGAGTCAGTGACATCCCTTGGACATATTTATCAGGATTGCCTTGTTGACACATGATGTAGAGTCAGTGACATCCCTTGGACATATTTATCAGGATTGCCTTGTTGACACATGATGTAGAGTCAGTGACATCCCTTGGACATATTTATCAGGATTGCCTTGTTGACACATGATGTAGAGTCAGTGACATCCCTTGGACATATTTATCAGGATTGCCTTGTTGACACATGATGTAGAGTCAGTGACATCCCTTGGACATATTTATCAGGATTGCCTTGTTGACACATGACCAGGTGTCCAGTGTGCCTTTAAGTTTTTATTAGTGGGTTCACAAAGTATTTGGTTAAAAATTTAATGTAAGTGGTAAAAAAACCCCTAAAGTTATACTCTTTAGAATAAAAATTTATTAAGTATTATTCATCATTTCTTACCAACAGCAGTAACAAAATCTTTTCTTTTTTTTTGTCATTTCACCTAATTGTAAAACAGTCGGCCATGTTTTTTTGTCAAAAGTCTTTTTCTTTTGCTATTGTTTATTTTTAATTCAGATTTTTTTGTCGGTCAGTCTCATAAACCAACTAAAAACAATATAAAGGCTTGCAGTTCTTTTCTTTCCGTGGCTTTGTTTCTGTTTATGAAAAATACTTGTTTACGATGGTGTTTACAACACAAGGTAAAGTGTCACGGCTGCAATGTAGCCCAACTTCCTTTGTCATAAAATCCTAGCTCGTGTGTTGACAGCTACATCCTTGTTGATTGCTGGACTAGATTTATGAAACATAACATGCCGGCAGGCTTGGCAAGTGACATCATCAAACTTGTAAACTATGTCCATATCTCTGTGAATACTTAGGGTCGTTTATGGTGTAGTTGCCATGTTGTAACCAATGAATGCATACAAGCCCAGGCTCTATGAGAGGGAAGCCAGTACTCGGACCAATGAGAGTTGGCTGACATTGCACAAGTGGACATTTCTTGCTGAACATCGGATTCTACACACTGCTTGGGTTGTTGTCGCCACACCTTATACTACTGTGTACCCAGGGCCCTGTTTCACAAAGCGATCGTAGTGCTGAGACGATCGTAACTCTTATACTTTAACATAGACTTATGACTGTCGTAGTGCTGCGATAGCTTTGTGGAATAGGGCCCAGGTACTTTTGAGTATACAAAAAAGTAACCACAGACTCTCGCAACTACCCTTTGCACTTAGATGTACCCACTCTTGTGTAGGGGTATACGGGACAGCCATCTGTCATAAAGCGCAGAGGTTGAAAGATTTGTTTGTTTGTTTGTTTGTTGTTTAATGCCGCACTCAGCAATATTTCAGCTATATGATGTCGGCATGTAAATAATCGAGTCTGGACCAAAACAATCCAGTGACTGGCATCATGATCATCGATCCAGGCAATTGGGATACGATGCATCCATCAAGTCAGCAAGCCTGACCACCCAATCCTGTTAGTAACCTCATATGACAAGGGGAGCCGCCTTTTTTGGAAAGCATGGGTTGCTGAAGACCTATTCTACCCAGGATCTTCACGGGTCCAGGTCAAAAGAAATGTGCAGGGGTAGTTTTGAGACTTCGTTGGTACTTTTATTATATTCAAAAGTACCTGGGTACATGGTAGTATCAGGTGTGCCGACAACAGCCCCATCAGCATTTCTGGCAGAAAAGGATAGCATGCAGACAAAGGGTTCATGCATGGCGTAGGATCACAAGATGTATCATGTATCAAGATTTCTGTTCATTGGGAAATACAAAAAAATCATCTTTTCCAGTTCGAAAACAGAATCAACAATAAGGGTTCATTTAGTTGTCAGCCAAATATTATTTTATTTGGCTGACAGTCTTCTTGGTAGTATGGGGTTCCTTACAACAGGACCGCCTCCATGGTCTAGTGGTAGAGCATCCGGCCGGAGAGCAGAAGGTCCAGGGTTCAGTCCACGGCTGCTTCATACCAAAAGACGTTAGAAAATGGTACTTGTTGTTACACTGTCTGGCGTTCGGCAATATGGTGCTAAAACAAGGACTGGTCAGCTCGGAGTCAGTATGCTGTGTCTGTTTGGGGTATTCATGTTAAACTGTGGCATGGTATCTCAGTGGGCTAGCACTATAAAATCAGCATAAGTCTGGACTAGTACAAAGAGCCGCAACGTACATGCATATCGTTCTAATAGTGTTTGGCCTTGAACAAGCAAAACAATTTTTAAACTAGCGATATATTTGTTAAGTGTTGATGGAGAGTTTATGTTTCTTAGACTAACTTTGTTTTACAAAATGATGGAATATTTTGAAAAATATTTCAAAATCGTGACAGGCTAATGGAATAAAAAAACAACTGAATAGATAATGCACTGACTTTCTCTTTTAAAAGTAATTATGGATCACTGCCAGACAAGGCATGGACATAAATGTAACAAAGTTGAAGTACATCGCTGTGTGGGTTTTTGGGTTAAGACCAGTAGATGAATTCGTCTGATTGTGCATACTCACACAGGAAATCTAATTTGACAAAACTTAAAATTCCTGGCTCCTCAAGTCTCTCTCCTCTACACAGCTTAGGAGGAGGTTGTTGAGCTGCAGAGTGGCGCTTGTCGTGGCAGACAGAAGTGCCATGCTTCTCATGCATCTGGTTGTGTAATTTTGTCAGTTAGGTCTGGCAAGGATGAGCAAACCTCCTCTTTATGTCCTAAGTAGAGTTGGTGGTCCAAAAATGAATAAGAAAAAATCAAACTATCCATCACTCCGATATCTATCCATGTAGCAATTTATTGTAATGGGATTTGATGTGTGGAGCCATCCATCTTGTTGGATGCAGTTGTGACAGACTTTAAAATACTGATGGATTATATGTGATGTTATATGCTGTCTGTGGTATTTCAGGCATTTTTCTTTTTTTTAAGACATGATGAATTAATCTGGAATTGTTCATCTTCACTCATGGGAACACTGTGTGAAGCACATTTTTGGTGTCTCCTGTCATGATTTGATTGTGAGTTGATCATGATTTGATTGTGATTTGATCCTGATTTGACCATGATTCGATCGTGATTTGGCGATGATATGACCATGATTTGATCGTGAGTTATCATGATTTGATCGTGATTTGACCGTGATTTGATCCTGATTTGACCATGATTCGATCGTGATTTGGTCATGATTTGATCGTGATTTGATCATGATTTGATCATGATTTGACCATGATTTTATCATGATTTGATCGTGAGTTATCATGATTTGATCGTGATTTGACCATGATTTGATGGTGATTTGATCGTGATTTGACCATGATTTGATCGGTTTAATACTGACAGCAATATAACATTCAACTCACTCCATATCAGCGGTGAGGGTTGGTGGGTACCTAGTGGTTTAAGCCATTCATGAAAGGAATATCATGTCTAGGAAACTTTTATCTCAAATTGTACAGTTTCGTTGACATGAAAAAAATGCGGCCATGTCCACAAACTGACAACATCTTTATGATTGGCTGATAACAAAATGGGTGGGGCTTGTGTTGCCTCATTGTGCTGAACAATCTTACTGATTTTGTACTGTTGTTTACAGTTTTTTTGTGTGTTAATGATAAATAAGTAGTCTGTCAAGTTATTATTGCTGACATATATATCTATAAGAATTCACTTCAGAATAATTTTTAATTTGAAGTTTACATGATATACAGCTTTTACATTGGATGAGAGGTCAGTCACACGACCACAAAATTGACGTTTATAAGTGTATGAACAACATGATTTGACGTTCATACGTTTTTCACGAAACCATGTTCTTGAAATGACGTAAACACTGATGGACTACTTCCACATTGCTGGGAACCCTGGGAATTCGCCAGCATGAATACATACAGAAACGTTCTGTCTGATCATTTAGACCCTTTAATCTTGAACTCAGTGTTTTAGTGTACATTGAGAAATGTCTGAGACTTTGACTGCATGATCGTTCACGAATCCTTGCTACGATCGTTCCCAGTGAACAAAACAAAGAAATGCACGTCTAAACTATCATAGTGTCAACTAGGCAGACAGTGATAGTGTCTATTTGACACATCTTAAATCAGCTTTGAATGAATGATCGCCCAACTGATCAATGGTGACTAACACATGTAACCGCCACAGGTTCATTAACAACTTCAGAAATCTCTCCCGTCACGTTTATCATGTCGGCCATTTTGACGTCTTGAAGTTGATGTAAATGTATTACAACACACTGTCACTGTGACTGACTTACTGAGGTAGTTCTTCACAGACTTTTCTCATCTAATGGTGATATTATTTGAATACATGTGTTGTGTAAGATGTTTCTTAAGGGCAAGTTGTGCATACATACGCTAATGTCACCTCTCTATTTTATTCCGCGATGCAGCTGGTTGTTGTGTGGCTGTTAGTGTAAACATGAAGTCACACATACTAAATATTGTATAGATTTAGGCCTACATCCTTTGAGGTAACAAATATTGCAACACAAAATTATAAGAATTGACTTCCACTTGCGATGACATTCATACAGTTTGGCCCTCACTCAATGAAGATTCATACTCCAATGAACTCACACAAAGTGGAAGTCATTTCTTAATTATTTTAGTGTTTATAGAGGTATAAATGTCAAAACTGGTATAGACACTTTAGTATACAAGCAATATGCACCTTGGTTTTAGGTTTATTCCTCCATAAGCACACACTATATTAAAGCCAATTGTTAAACGTGTCCTGATCTGCTGCAGTGTGTGAACCTGTCGGAGGAGGATCTGAGTGTGAGGGAGGTGGACCACGTGGACATTGTGTTTGATGAGCTGCCTCAGAAGCATTGCAAGGAGGAAGAGGTACGACAGAGAAGTGATGGATGTGCTCAGTGAACCTTTACTTCATCACCGGCCACAGTGGCTCAGTGGAAATGCTTGGTTACAATACTACCGTATATGACTGCAGATAGGCCGAATTTTGAGGACCAGAAAAAAGATTCTGTAGAAAGGGGTCGGCTTATCCATGGGATACACTTTCATGATAGTACTTTTCAGATAGTGATCTGGCAGAAACATCACCTGAATGACGGTCCGATAGATTACAACTTCCTAAAGGTTTGGAAGTTGCCACGACTAGAGCTATTATTGTTATAAATTATCAATAAAGTTATTATTATACACCAATGTTATTCATGATATATGTGGTTACAGTGTTTCGATTCGTGTCATGTCATGTCATGTGATAAAAGGGTTATCTAAGGCCTTTGGAACTTGTCAAGAGCAGTTTGGACATTGATGCAAAGATTGTATCATTCAGCTCAGTCCTGTCTTTTAAAAATTAAAAGCTTGTTGCGTCATTTTTAGCCAGAGCAAAATATAAGTATACAAGATATTCTGGTATACTACTGTCTGTATTTATTTACCACTGTCTGTGTTTCTTAATATTAATCCTCATGAAGATCCGGGTTAGAATTGGTCTTCAGCTACCCATGCTTGTCATAAGAGGCAACTAACGGGATCGGGTGGTCAGGCTTGCTGATTTGGTTGATGCAGGTCATCATATGCCAATTGTGTAGATCAATGCTCAGGAAGTCAATCACTGGATTGTCTCGTCCAGGTTCGTTTATTTTCGGAAGCCAGAATATTGCTGAATGCAGCGTTAAACAAGAAACAAACTAAAGTTCAGATTGGCCACCAGCAACGTATATTTGTTGTAATTGGCGACTGAATGAATCAGGTGATTTGGTTGATTGTACAGGTGTGTCATTGTAACCTGATGGCGTGGAGCATATCAATCACTGGATTGTCTGGTCCAGACTCAATTATTTATTGGCCACGCATCATTTAGCTGGAATATTGCTGAATGGGGCATTAAAAACAAACAAACAAACAAATATGAAATGGAACTTGCAAGTTTAAAGTAGGTTTCAGAGAATGAAGCATTTACTGTAGCATACAATTCTTCTGCAGGATCTGAAAACTTTCCAGTCAAAGAAGACCAGTCGTGGTCCCATGTCAGAAGGCTGGAGGGTGAGTGAGTGTTACCGTGATGGCAAGGTCACGATTTGATACGTGATACGATACATACCTGGATGCTAAGGTCTTGACATGATATGTGATATGATATGTACTTCCACAGTAAGTTCATGATATGATATATGATATGATAGATACCTCGACAGTAAGTTCATGATATGATATGGGATATGATATGTACCTCGACAGTTAGGTCACAATATGACATGTGATATGATACGTACTTCGACAGTAAGGTCAAGGAAGGATTCATTATACGATACATAAAAAAAACCAACTGACTCCTTTAATTACAATTAAGGAAAGAGTTCCATCATCAACGGAAGTGAGTAGAAGATGTTAGTCAATAACTACAGCAACAGCTCGAGACCTTGTGTGTTGTTCTTCTTATGGAAAAAAGTAACTGTTCTTTATATTTATGTTATGTTTTTGAAAATAACAACATAATATTTGGTCCTTGGCCTGATCGTTCATGTTTGATCATAAAATATTCATAGACAAAACCCATACCTGGTAACAGGAGACAGAGCGACACACTCTAAAATAGGGGTGGTGCAGCAACTCAGTTAGCAATGTCAATATGAGGTGTGACCATCATTTGCGTTGATACAGTCAAGGCAGCGGCGGTGCATTGAAGACACAAGATGATGGGATGTTCTTCTTTGTCAACCAAAGATTGCCCCAAATGAGCTAGTGTTACCTGATGTAGGCATCGTTCCATCTCATCAGGGACACGTTCTGTTGGGGAAGAGAGGTCTTGAGGAACAGTTGGCCAGTTGTCTCTGCAAGGTGACATTACGCCTCTGGATTTGCACCAAAGATAGAACTTTATCTCAAACGATGTTGTCCCAGTAGAGTACACCATTCAAATTGCCATTAACAGTGATGAGATGTGTTCACCCATGAGTTGTGATGCCACCCCATATTACCCTTCCACCCAACACTGACAACGTTGAGTAATGCAAGCATTACCCTTGTTGACCCTTGTACGACCATCAGAGCTGTCCAGATGAAACCTCGTTTACTGTCAGTCTTGTCTTCTGAACCCCAGATGCTGTCTATACCCAGAATTAATAACCCAGGTCTATCCTGCAGATTGTGATGAACCCTGTGAATCGTTACACACCAATCTTTCATTGTTTGTTTCAGGACTCGACTACACCCATCATGTGCTCATATAAAGCTGTCAAAGTCAAATTTGAAGTTTGGGGCCTACAGACCAAAGTGGAATCATTTGCACATAAAGTAGGATTTCCTCCATATTGTTTTATTTACAGATTTTTATGTTCAGTATGCCAAAAGCCTGAAGGAAAAGGCAAAATAGAAAACTACAGCTGTAAGTTTATCATATGGTTGTACAGTGGAATCTGTCCAATTCGGACTCAGTCGGGACCAGTGAAAAGTCTGGTTTACGGTGAGGTCCAGATTACAAAAAGGTTGACTGAAGACAAAACGAAAAGCAACGATCTTTCATCTGTATTCGCGTATACATTCATTGTACATGACATATTGACATGGGCTGGCATTAAATACACATTCAAACATTCTTTACCGGTACTTCAAAAAGTCATTGAGAACGGACTGCTTATGTTTCTGAAGATTATTTTTCAAAATCGTGTCTTCAGTCATAGTTTCGAGGTGAAGTGGTTCACCATCTAGGGATCATTCCCTGGCAAAATGGCGAACGGCTGCTGATAGTCCGAGACAGCCTGCTTACTTCTGCCACACTTCTCGGCTAAATCTTTCTGCTTCGGTTTTTGTAATGACTTAAATTCCTAAATTAAATCAACTTTCTTAGCAAGTGTAAGTTTGATATACTTTTTCCTTGCTGATCCCTCAGACATTGTGATTGATAATGACAAGCTGTGGATACTGTTATTTATTGACACGATCATGTTCCAGTCCGGTCTGGTCCAGCCTGAGTTAGACAGCTTCTTTTCAATAGTACATGAGTTGTTGGGACTGTAATTTTAGTCCGAAGTCCGAAGTGTAAAAAATCCGAATTGGAGAGTTGGAAGTCCGTTTGAGTAATGATAATTTATTAAGGAACTGAGGGGACCGGAGAAAAAGTCTGTTTTTTACAGAAATCCCAATTTGACAGAGTCTGATTTGGACAGATTGCACTTGATATCAGTTTGTGCAGTATGATTGTAAAGTTGTGGTGTTTATGCTGAGATTCTTTAAAAGTTGTTTTACAACAAAATAAAATATTGCAAGTTATTCCGTGGCATTAGATTGGCTAACCAAGCAATTTTTGTGCGTTTATTTTTCCATGACCTGAGACAGTATAGGCCACGTCCATTACCGCTGCTCATCCCTGAGTGTTGATTCACTGATAATAGTATAGGCGGGTCTTTGGTAAGATTCCTGCACTGACCAATGTCCTTTATTTTGTACTGTAGTCTACAGTTTTGTGAGTTTTTGATTGAATAAGCAGTCTGTGAATTTATTATTGTTGACATATTTATTTGTAAGAATTGACTTCCAAAGGTTTTGTCATTTATGGAGTTCTAAACATAAAATCTGGTGTGCAGACTTTGTGTAAATTCTACAAATATTTAAGTCAATTCTTAAATAACACTGATATTCCTTGCACTGTTTTTTCAGTCTGTCCGTGATATTCTCCTCCTGGGCCACAAGCAGGCGTTTGCCTGGATAGATGAATGGCATGGTAAGTCAGCCTCCCCACTGCTGGGCCTATCAGCCTGGGGGTGGTTGGGTAGCCCCCACTGCTGGGCCTATCAGCCTTGGGGTGGTTGGGTAGCCCCCACTGCTGGGCCCATCAGCCTGGGGGTGGTTGGGTAGCCCCCACTGCTGGGCCCATCAGCCTGGGGGTGGTTGGGTAGCCCCCACTGCTTGGCCCATCAGCCTGGGGGAGGTTGGGTAGCCCCCACTGCTGGGCCCATCAGCCTGGGGGAGGTTGGGTAGCCCCCACTGCTGGGCCCATCAGCCTGGGGGTGGCGGGGTAGCCCATGAGGTACTTGTGTTATGTCATAGAGGGTGAGGTGGGGTGGGCCAGTTTCCCTAGGTAGGCAATTATCTGGTGTAGCAGGATTAAATCACACCCCTTATATTTTACTCCAGAGTGAGTCTGACCTAGGATAGAATCACTCTTAGAGTGGCCTGATCCTGAAACTGCCAGGACTACAAGGTGTCGTACATGTTACATCCCGTAGAGGTACCCACTGGCAAATTTTTCAGAGCTGAGCAATATATGGGCTATGAAGTTTTGATTTTGTTACATATGGTTTAAAGATAGTTGTGTGTTTTATATTGTGACATGGACATGCTTGTACCCAAATGAAACATCTTCCGATTTATTCTTAAAGGCTATACTTGGCCTGACCTACTTGGGCTGATATACATGGGCTGATATACTTCTAGCTTAGGGATATGAAGCAAGGGAGAAATAATTCAGTCAAATATTACGAATTGCATTACGACAAATGGGAGTTTATGCCTGATGGAATATATACTGACAAGACAGAGTTGGGGCTCATTTTACTTATCTTACAATTGTCTAATACAATAAGCAGTAGTGTGTAACTGGTATTATTGCCAATACAGGATACAGAAAGTATGCAGAGCATGTTTTCATCGGGAAGGGGGGGGGGGGGGGGGGGGGGGGGGTGGGGGGGGGGTGTCATCCTATGAAGGTGAAGGGGGAGTGTTACGATCCTTAGGGGAGTGATTTGATCCTAGGTTATATGCAGATGTAATTCATAAAGTTTAGAAGGAAGGTAAATATGATAAATGAGACTAAGAGCATTGTGGATGAAAATAGGGCTTGGTGTGGATGGCACCGACAGGGCAGTAAGCATGCGAAGCATAATTGTAGCCCTCCGCCGTGGCAAGGCAGACGGGTATAGCTGTGGGATCGATAAGATCACTCTCGAGTGATTTGGTCGTGGACAGTGACCTGGTCCTCCTACATCTGGAGACCTTGCAGTATTTGGCTAAATGAGCACATTCCAGTCACACTTCAAAGGAGTCATAAAAAGGAAGCGATAATGTGCCTACAAAATCTAATATTCTGATTCATAACCTTGAATTTATTTGTTTTTTGTCAACAGGAATGACAATAGATGACATCCGTGAATATGAGAACTTAAAACAGAAAGAAACCAATGATAAAGTTGTAGCAGGACTACAAAGACAGACCTCTAGAGGTTCTCGCAGCTCCAGTACAGACTGACCCTGTGAGGAGCACAAGGGAGATCACTCTAAGGACACCATCATCTCTTGGTTATCAGTGGATGATAAGGGTTTGCTCAGTCATAGACATCCAGGCAGAGTAGAGAAGAAATGTATCGAACAAGAGTATGAGTTGATGGAAATTGTTCAAAGGACTTTTGTTGACGTGGTGTCCATTTTGTGGTGACATGCTGCCTCTGTTAGTCTAGCTAGTCCATTCAGGATTAGTGGAATGAAAGTCATGTGTAGACAACTCAAGATTTGGAGCCACACAGTTCACACGCGTACAAACAAAGCCATTAAAGCCTTGATCAGATGGCAACATACATTTTAAAATAGCTTCCATAATCAAGTCAGATTGTTCATTGTTCATTCAGTTGTTTGGCCATCTGCTGGTTTAAAATTGTTAGGATTGTGAGTGCTTGCTAATTAATATCCTGAGTTGTTGAGCCTTTAGGAATTGTTTTCAAAGGAAGTTACTATAGAAGTGACTTAATTACATAGTTTTAGTTTTATTCAATGAATTCATGTTAGGATTTTGTTTTGAAGATAAATTGTTTTGTAGGGATTCTTTATCGTTTCAAGGCCAAGTCTTTCCACTCATTTTTTTTTATCTTGTTGACCTTATGTACCACGCAGACAAGTGTAACAATCTGTCACTGTTTAATTAGCTTGCGTTTACCAATAATAATGTGGCAGATTTATGATGCGCCAATCCACACCCTAAAGCATGCACAAAGTACTACATTATTACCCTGGTCGGTGGATCAGTTTGCACTTGATTTTCATTCTCAGCTCCCTGGGGAGTATACTAGTTTGTGATGCGTGGTAGCTTTATTTCTAAAATTCTGAAATTCATCCTTTCATGTCCATTTTAAGTCATCTCTTTACTAATACATGAAGTTTTCATATTGTGTGCCAGATGAACAACCTTGGCCAAGTTCTGTCGTGAGATTGACTTTATTAATATGGAAGAATTGGGTGGTCAGTAACTCTTTTTGAGTTGTATACAATTAACAACAACAAATCCTAATGGACCAAAATGTAAGATATTACATCCCAAATATCTAGTAGTTATTAATTATTAGGTAACATTTTGTATAAAGAACAGGACTCCTCAGTTACCTGTTGATATTAGGGTGGCAGATCTAGTCTAGGACATGTCTCCTTGCTCAGCTGTTGATTAAGGTGGCAGATCTAGGACCTGTCTCCTCGGTCAGCTGTTGCTTAAGGCGGCAGATCTAGGACCTGTCTCCTCGGTCACCTTTTGATTAAGGCGGCAGATCCAGGACCTGTCTCCTCGGTCACCTGTTGATTAAGGCGGCAGATCTAGGACCTGTCTCCTCGGTCACCTGTTGATTAAGGCGGCAGATCTAGGACCTGTCTCCTCGGTCACCTGTTGATTCAGGTGGCAGATCTAGGACCTGTCTCCTCGGTCAGCTGTTGATTAGGGTGGCAGATCTAGGTAGTGTTTCCTCTCTATGTATAGTTACAAAGATTAACATAGAACTGTTAATGTAGACTGGTATGACATGTTAATACAATGTATAGTAATGTACAGGGTAATTTGACATGCATTTGCAATTGATCATGGTTCTCACAAACCTTTATCATTATCTAGATTTAATGTGTAAGACATACATGTTGCAACTGACTTGTATTTCTTGGTGTTTTTACACTCGGTGTGTGAACTGTGCAATTAAACATTGTATTATTTAACAGTTGGAACTTGGAGATTCAGGGTAGATTTCTACTGATCTACCTTGTCAGGTTGGATTTTAATGATATTTCCCAAATGAAATTCATTATGTTGAAACCAATTTAAAACTTATACATACAGCAGTAAACAGTGGTTTGGGTTTTAACTACTGTACAATGACAACACGGGTGATTAACTTATTTCAGTTCTAGTGTTTTAACTTAATATAGCAGATAGAACATGTCAAGGATTGTTTATACAAAAGTGGTTGGACCAAATTTATTTCTTGTTTTACATAATTCCTGGCTGATATTTTTTAGTTTTTCTGATAAGACTTTTGAATAAATACCAACGCCACTAACAAATTTTTATTACCGATTACTTGTAAACTCTTTGTCATCATGAAACTTGCTGGAATATTGCTGGGTTGGGCGTTAAACAACAAACAAACAAACAAACAAACAAAACTTTTTAACATGTACAAGCCAACATTTGAATTAATTTAGATACTGAAACAAGGAAACGTTTGGTCTGGCACTGCAGTATATGTTTTTGAAGTGAAAGTTGATCTGATATTTCATGTATTCTCCTTTTGTATTTATTGTTCAGAGAGAAGTGTTTTCTTAATCATTCCAAATGTTTACATCATGTGATAATGCTGTTTTGTAATGTTGTTATCATTGTTTTAGTCCTAGAACATCATGACTCATTCATGAGTGTCATTTTTGATACAGTTTAACAATATTTTCGTGTTAGAGGATAAAATAATTTCCTTAAAATTATGAGGTTAAAAAAATAAGCCTTTGTTCTCAGAAATAGTTTCCCTGTAAGAAATGGAAATTACGACATCTGGGTAGTACTTTATCATAGATGAAGAGGGAGGATAAAGAGATAATAATCAGCATGAGACAGGCGCGCTTTGCAAGCCACAAATCGCTTCGAGAAAGCAAATTAATCGCTCATCCCGGGGTCTTCAACAGTTCGAAGCACTTGCACAGTCTTCCAAAATGGGGGCGCGACTGTCGCTTGGTTGCCTTTCCCTTATGAAGAACATAATAGATGATGAACTGATGAAATTTATGACTAATTTGAAGATGTGGAGCAGACTGAGGATGATGGGGTGTTAGCTGCCTCTGCTCATTTCCCCGCAGATCCACTCAAGAATTTCTTGTTCCGCTGTCAAAGTGAGCAGCCATTTTTATTTGAGAACGCAACGACCTCAACCAGTGATTGTTTCGCTTGCAAGCGGCTGAAAGTTAGCGTACTGTTGTAAGGCGAATCACTGTTCATTGCTTTCAAGCGATTGGCGCTTTACAACGCGCCCCAGCCGTTTGAAGGGTTGTCTATCATGATAATGAACCTCTCTGTATCGTGGGTACTCGTGGGTTTGTGTACCAGACATCCCTCCATCACCCATGATTACATACATCCTCTGACCCGTGAAGATCTGGGGTAGAATAGGTCCTCAGCAAGGCGACTAACAGGATCAAATGGTCAGGCTCGCTGACTTCGTAGGTGCATGTCATGGTATCTCAATGGCGTGGATCGATGCTCATGATGTCAAATCACTGTAATTATTACAGACCGCCGTCATATAGCTGGAATATTGCTGAGTGCGGTGTTTACAACAAACAAAAAACAACAAAATATACAGCCTCTATCCTGTGTAGTGATTCACAGGACTTCTTTGCAAAAAATGTCGAAAAATCTTCCAGGCCAAAGACTGGCTCCTAGCTTGTTGAACTTGGTACAAACCTTACCTTGCAATGTAGAGATACCAGAAAGATGTGGCATAGTTTCACGTGAGAAATAAGAGAAATAAGTGGTTTTATGTGATGTAACATGGATATCCATTGGTCAGAGCCAGGCTTGTTTCCATAGTGCTAGAATCAGGCTGTGGCTTGATTTGTCTGGTTAAAAATACTGACTTCACTGCAAAGTAGCTGTATGTATTCATAATGCATTTATAATGCGCCAGATTCCATTCACCAAATGGATGCTCATAGCGCTACACTATTATTACCCCGATCGGATCAGTGAGCACTCGATTTTCATTCTCAGCTCCCTGGGGAGTTTACAACCCAAGCTGCCTGTGAGGCGCTAGAAGGTTAACAGCCACATTCCCATCTCATCCTACCAGGTACCCACTCACTGCTGGGTGAACAGAGGCACAAAGTCACTTGCCTAAGGAGACACCACATGTGGTACATGTGCTTCAGTGTGGGGCAGGACTGAAGCCCTAGAAACTCTCAGGAGTCAAGCTGCGACGGAGGAATGTAGTGTATATGACCTCATAAACTATTGAAGATGACCTCTCTGAAGTGTGACCAAAAATAATTCATAAGTACCTGTAATTGTTATTACATTCAAATTTACATAAATTTACATTCAGACTATCCCTGTATATTGCAGTGGAATGATGGGACAAGATATGTATTGTTTTTTAATTACTTTACACTACATGTCACATATGCAGCATGCACTGAATTCAGAGACGAGACTTGGACCAATTTGTAGTGTAGGTGGATTCAGGGTATTGGCACCACTCCTGCTTATCGTCTACGTCAGTCAAGTTCTTGCTCCGATGATGTTCATTATTATTTTTAGTGTTCCATGTAGGTAATACTTGTCTCAGTCATAGACCGGGTGATTGAGTGTGTCACAAACTGTAGATATGTATGTAGGACTTCCCACAACCCTGACACAAAGTTAATTTACCATTATGTAAGTAATACACGTTTGTTCAACTCTTGACCTATAGTTCTGAGATTTTTTATGATAATGTTTAGCATAGGAAATGTTACATGGGCACTGGTACAATCAGTGACTTTATTTTAATCTGTTTCATGAAAAGGCCTTTCTTTGTTGGTTTTCTGTATAACTTGCTTGCCATATTCTATGATTGTAGCTGAATATTTGATCAGATTTGATGAAATGTATCATTATTATTATTGAATCATATGTAACATTGACCACTTTCTAAATGGCATCGTGAGTTCATAGCTCTCGGCCATGGGAGCCGTGCCAGTTTACACTTGTCAGAGGGGTACTCACAGTACGTGATCTAGACTACCAGTTGTTGAACTTTCATTTTTGTGGAAGCCTCGGTGGCTGAGTGGGTTAGGTCGCTGACTTTGTGTGCTGGCGATTCAGTGCCTCACTCTGGCAGTGTGGGTTCGAATCCAAGAAGGGACTCAACCCAAAAGTACGAGAATCTGTAGTTTACTGAGAAAGTATTATCCCAAATATAACATCTGTTACATTTGACCACTTTCTAAATGGCATTGTGTGTTCATGGATGTATATTCTCAGATCAATAACAGGCCATTGTGAAGGAATCAGTGATTGCATTGAGTACAGTTGTTTTTTTGCGATGATTAAGGATTTTTGCAATGATTATCATGTTATAGAAAGGTGCTAGGCATTATTTCTTTTTGTTGAAACATTTGCTGCTCAATTATTGAAAGGGTTACATTGTACTAAGGCATTACTATGAAGGCATTACTATCACCGTATTTGACGTAATAAGCGCCTCGCTCTAATAGTCCCAATTAGCACCTTTCCGATTGATCAATGTACACAAGACTTATTTATTCGTGTATAATACGTGTGTTATATGCACCCTTAATTATGGGACATTAAATTCTGGAAAAGTATATCTGTCGTATATGAACATTTCAGGCTGTCAGCATAAACCACGAAATTTATGATTTTTCAACTCTGTTGTTTTTCACCAAAATAATATTCTAATAAGTGCCCCCTATTTCTAATTTTGAGAGCGCCCTGGGCGTTTATTATATCAACTACGGTACTGACATTCAGAGCAGACCTCATGGAGATGTTATATATATTTATTTTAGAAGTCATGGTGGTCAAGTTGTCTAAGGCACCTCAGTTTGCTATACAGAGTTGTTTCCCTTAGGCATGCCAAAAACTTATGACCATGGGTTTGAATCCCAGTTCGCCTTGATTTTGAGTTCAGTTATAAACAAGAATCAAGCACTTGTCATTGATGAACTATGAATGTCTATTGCTTTGTTTTGTTAATGTTTGTAGGACCATGTGGAGTCAGGGTAGAATAGGTCCGTACTACACCGTGCTTGTCAAAAACGCTGACTGAAAGGGGATTGGGTGGCTTGGCTCTGTCATAGGGCTGGCTATTGATAGAGATCATAGAGATCGATAACTAAATAGTGATCAATTATCGATAAATATCGGAGAAGTAACTTTGAGCAAATATGTTGCTAGCTCAGAGACAAACAACAATATTTCCCATCACTGGGGAATTGTGACACATTTATGCATGGATTACTTTGTGGATGTTTAAGATATAACAAAATCAGTTGCTTTCTCTCTTTGGCAATGGACAAAAACAAGTCTGCTTCGGTAAATTATAACTTTATTTCATTACAATAGTTTATGTAAGATGTTATCGATGACACAAGTTTCATATAGATAATTGTTAATGTTTCTTCACATCAACGATAATTCTGATTATCGATCTCTTTAGCCAGCCCTACTGTGTCATTTGGCTGAATGGGGGTCATCATTCCCTAATGTCGTGGATCATTATTCCGGGTACGATGACTTGCAACCAACCAAGTCACTAGCCGGGCCACCTGATCTGATTGGTCTCGCCTTGTATGATAATGGTGTGTGTATATGAGCCATTCCTTCAAATGTCAGGATGATTTTTCTTAAGATTGTTTATCAATATATGTGTTAATCTTCTTGAATATATATAATTGTAATAAGAATCACTGCCGACAATTTGTTCATTACACATCCTCTACAGACATCATTCTGTGGAACGGTTTGATCGCATCGTCTGTCAATACATATGCCCTACCGACGTCTGGAACAGTTTGATGGAATTGACTGTCAATACATACCCTCTACTGATGTCTGGAACAGTTTGATGGAATTGACTGTCAATACATACCCTCTACTGATGTCTGGAACAGTTTGATGGAATTGACTGTCAATACATACCCTCTACTGATGTCTGGAACAGTTTGATGGAATTGACTGTCAATACATACCCTCTACTGATGTCTGGAACAGTTTGATGGAATTGACTGTCAATACATACCCTCTACTGATGTCTGGAACAGTTTGATGGAATTGACTGTCAATACATACCCTCTACTGATGTCTGGAACAGTTTGATGGAATTGACTGTCAATACATACCCTCTACTGATGTCTGGAACAGTTTGATGGAATTGACTGTCAATACATACCCTCTACTGATGTCTGGAACAGTTTGATGACATCGTCAGTCACTGCCACTACTGTGTTTTTATTTTAAAACGGTCTCCTGTTGAGACATCCCAGTATACTCCTCCAGCAGGGTCTGATTTTATGGATGACCCTTGGTCAAGGTCATGCTATTTGAGAATCCTTTCAGTACACTCCAATATTATATGTAATCCTGGTGTAATGATATGTACCAGTGATGTAATGGTCATGAGAGTTCAGGTTGTAACTAGGATACTATACTATAAAATAGGTCAATGTGACCTACTTTTGTTCCGAGTCTACCATGCACTTGTATTTTGTGATAGATTCAAAGGTGTGCAATGGACTGCATCTGTTTTTGCATGTGTAGCGACCATAACATTTACGCATCCCAGATGGGATTCAAACCATGGACCTTCTAATCTAAGTTGAACGGCTTGTCCACATGACTAAAGGCGT